ACCTCTTCCCCATGCCCTTTGGCCAGCCCTGCCTAAGCTTTTCCTTCGTGGTGGAAAAGCCCCACTTGGCTATTGTCTCTCCCGGCCAGTGAGGCTCAAGTTCCAGCAGACCAGAGACCCACTGGGGTTTGGCAAGCCCAAGGGGAAGTGGGGATGGGGCCTGGAGGGTCAAAGATGCTGGAGAGAAAGAGAAAACTAAAGCTAAATCGGATTCAGGACCACCCCTCATGCCCAGTCCCCATCCCAGCCCTCAATTCTTAGGCTAACCACAGCCCCTCTGAGAAGGGGAGGGGATGCGGGAAGCCATTCTCACCCTCCCTTCCAACAGAGCTGGGATTCAGCCTCAGGGGAAACCAAGAGCCAGCCATTTCCAGTATCTAACAATTCAGAGGCTGGGAAAATAAAGAAAACAGAAAACCGAACTTCCTTGTGCCATTTAACTTAACCACAATTCAACAAATATTTGACTGCCTAGCATTGGACTCCATTTCTATGGAACCTATATTAAGCAGGAGTCACTTGGAGACCTTAGGCAGCTGACTTCATTGTTGATGAAATAAGATTCACTGTGATTTAAACTCACTTCTTCCTTGGCATTCCCTCTGAACTGACTCCCCAGCTTATCACCTTTGCCACTATCACTAGCTCTGAACTATCACTTGCCTCTCCCCAAGGTGGAGAATGCTGCTTCTCAGCCCATTTCAGGAAAAAAAAAATGACCCCACGCAAGTCCATCCCACTGGGTGAGACTCCAGCCAAAGAGGCACATTAGGGCTGGAGATCCAGGACTCAAACCTCCCGCCCTCCTGCACCATCACTGTCCATATCCCAAAAGCTTCAGACAAAGCTCCTGCAACCCTGGGGGGCAACAGCCTCACTTAGACACTGGAGTGTGACCTTGCATGTTACCCAGAGGGGACCCTGGAAATGCTAGCGATTCATGTGCACTCCAATGTAGGCAGTTTCAATAGGATTCTGGGTCAGTAGAATTAAAGCAACTGACAAGACAGTTAAAAATGATGGTGGAAACAACCCAAATTAATCCAGGGATGGCAAATATGGTTTCTTTACAGCTTCTGTTTTCAATAGCTACCAGTGTATACTTTTTTCCCAATCCAGACATTAAATCCTGAGTCCCCAAAGTACTTTTAAGAAAGCTCAGCCACAAAAGCCCCCAGACCCCACTTTACTGACAGCTCTGTGGTGGGGAAATCAGCCCAGAAAGGGTAAGCAATGCACCTTGCAGTGTAAGATGAATCAGAGGCAAAGGTGGGCAGGGAACCTCAAGGACCTGTTGCTGGCCAAGTCTCCTATAACTCAGTAGTCTCTCCAGGCATAAAGGAGCAATCTCCAATCTTCATTCAGGCTGCAGGAGCACCACCCTGCCCAAGACAAATATGCCCAGTTCCAGGGAATATGTCCGCCAAGGGAGTTATTCTATGTTAACTATGGGCTGACACTCCACTCCTTTGCCATCCTCCATCCTCCTCCTTGCTTCGCTCTTCATATATTCAAGACCCAGCTCAAATATTCCTCTGAGGAAGCCTCCTCGAATCCTCCAGGAGAGGAAGGCATTAGGTCCTTTGCTCCCTTCTCCATGCAGTGCACACCCTATATAAGTTGGCTTCCTTGCCTGGCTGCCCTCCTAAACTGTCACTTCCTAGAGGGCACCAGTCATGTCTTGTTTATGCCCATATCCCTGATGTCTAGAACAAAGAAAGCCCCAGTGATGTTTCTTGAAGAACTGTAGATAAACCATTTAATTATGCCAACGAGCTATTGCTTTATATCTTAGGCCAGGCCGAAAGTGTTGTCATTATTTCCTCAGCATGGAAGTAAAACAGGAGTTCCCTGCTTCAAACCAAAGCCCAATTCTCAGCCACTAGTTTTCCAGTCCACTGAGCAGGAGATGTGATGCTGTGAAAAGTACAGAAGGCTTGGGTGTCACAGGCTTAAATTCCGGCTCCATCGATTAGATACAAGGGAATCGAGGATGCAAGCTACTTAAACTCTCTAAGCTTGGCTTCCTTGTCTGTAAAAGGGGATAACTATGCCTGCCACATAGGGTGGCCAAGAGGCTCAGGGGGTAGTGAGTGTGAGTGAACTTATCAGTGTTTGGAATTCACTTCTGTGAATGAGCTAGCCTCCCTCATGCCTGGCTCCTGTTTTTGTCCTTAATCGGGAGATGGCGGGCAAATTCTCTGCAGTATTAGATGACTGTTCTACTGAGGGCAGTATCCCACTGAGGAATTTATAGGAAAGGACTCTTTGAGGCTTGAGGAAATCATGCATTGAGGATTGGAGAAATAAAAAGAAAAGAAACAAAATCAACTGAAACATACATTTTAAAAATAAAAGCAAGCCAGATTCATGTTTAGTATTTAAGGTTATACATTTACTTACCACGTAGGCAGATTTCAATAAATTAGGGAATAATGAGATGATGGAAAAGGGGGAAAAGATAACATTTCTCCGATTTCGATTACGAGCCCAGCACAATGCTAGGCATTTTCACCTACATTTCATCACTTAACCTTCATGACACCCCCATTTTAACAGATGAGAGTCAGAGCGGTTAAGTGCCAGGCATGAGGTCACATGGGCTCTGTGACGGAACTCTGGTTCATTGTACCTCTAAAGTTCGGGGTTTTTCCACTGTTGGGTTTTCAGAATGGAAAGACTCCAAAGGAGTCAGCAAGGGAGCATAGATTTTCCTTGAAAAGGCTAAGAATACCAGTGTCAGACCCCTCTGAGGTCAGGGGCTGGACCGTCTCCCAGCTCTGCCTTTTTACAAGTTAGACCAGTCAACTTCTTAGGAATCAAAGCACATTCTTTTTCAGCATGGCCATCTCCCACGTGTGCATCACCAAAGATGACAAGATAAACTATGATGATTTAACGCAAACACCACCCACTATTGGAAAAAGAGCTCAGAAAGCCTGCACTCTGATGAGCATGGGCTGGTAGCGCTATCTAATTTAGAAAGGCAATACTTTCCAATGGAAGGGTACGTCTGGGAGGGGATACCAGAAACCTGCAAAGCTGGGGAGAGCTCAGTAGCCCCTGAATGACAGGCCCACCTTCCTTTTTCCCCTGCAGATGTCACGGTGGATCCTTTGCCTCCAGGACCCGTCAAGGTGAGAATAAGATCCTTGGCTGGTTGGAACTGGCCTAAGACTGTAAGGCAGCCATGGATACGACATATGAGCTACTCAATGGGAACCAATCTTGGCTTCCCTCTCCATTCGACCTCAATGGCTCCATGGTGGCAGCCAACAGCTCAAACCAGACGGAGCCATACTATGATCTGACCAGCAATGTGGTCCTCACGTTCATCTATTTCGTGGTCTGCATCATTGGGCTGTGTGGCAACACGCTGGTCATTTATGTCATCCTCCGGTACGCCAAGATGAAGACCATCACCAATATCTACATCCTCAACTTGGCCATCGCAGATGAGCTCTTCATGCTGGGCCTGCCCTTCCTGGCCATGCAAGTGGCTCTCGTCCACTGGCCCTTTGGCAAGGCCATTTGCCGGGTGGTCATGACGGTGGACGGCATCAATCAGTTCACCAGCATTTTCTGCTTAACAGTCATGAGCATCGACCGATACCTGGCTGTGGTCCACCCCATCAAGTCGGCCAAGTGGAGGAGACCCCGGACAGCCAAGATGATCAACATGGCTGTGTGGGGTGTCTCTCTGCTGGTCATCTTGCCTATTATGATATATGCTGGGCTTCGGAGCAACCAGTGGGGGAGAAGCAGCTGCACCATCAACTGGCCAGGTGAATCTGGCGCATGGTACACAGGATTCATTATCTACACTTTCATCCTGGGATTCCTGGTGCCCCTCACCATTATTTGTCTTTGCTACCTGTTCATTATCATCAAGGTGAAGTCCTCTGGAATCCGAGTGGGTTCCTCCAAGAGGAAGAAGTCTGAGAAGAAGGTCACCCGGATGGTGTCCATAGTGGTGGCTGTCTTCATTTTCTGCTGGCTCCCATTCTATATATTCAATGTCTCTTCAGTCTCTGTGGCCATCAGCCCCACCCCAGCCCTGAAAGGCATGTTTGACTTCGTGGTGGTCCTCACCTATGCTAACAGCTGTGCCAACCCTATCCTGTATGCCTTCCTGTCTGACAACTTCAAGAAGAGTTTCCAGAATGTCCTCTGCTTGGTCAAGGTGAGCGGCACAGATGATGGGGAACGAAGTGACAGTAAGCAGGACAAATCCCGGCTTAATGAGACCACGGAGACCCAGAGAACCCTCCTCAACGGAGACCTCCAGACCAGCATCTGAACTGCCTGAAAAATCAATACACTAAAAGCTCTGCCAAGTGGCAACGTGCTCCCTGCCCCCACCTCCTCCCACCCATCACACCAGGGTTCTAGCATAACGCAATTGCTCAGCTTGAGTCCAATTCAGAGAAGAGTGTTTGGCTCAGCTTGTCTGAGTGAATGATAATGTATTCAATCGCTTACCTCCCCCTTAGAGTGAACATTTAAATGCAAGCAGACAATTCCGCGTCTGGAGAAGAGGAGATCATGCCTGGGTGTGATCTTTAGAAATGCTGAAGCTCAACAAAAATAGAAAACTCTTATCTGTATATTTAAAACTCAATGTGTAATCTTGTGGTCTTACATTTATACTTGTGCATACCTATCTGGTTCCTGTACAGTCATTACCTGTGTTTGCCGTGTACACTTCTACACAAGTAGCAGATTCATGTGTATAGTATAGGTGGATATTTATTACAATGGGGTGCCCACAGAAGTGGATATACAATGAAGCCAATAAAATTTAAGCTTCAGGGATCTCTCTTGCTTGGGCAGTATGTTCTCCTGGCCAGATGTTTTTGTGAAAACTGTACAAGTAAGATATTTTTGTATTGTTTTTCTTAATGAGGTCTCCTCAAGTTGTATAAGCTTCTAGCCTCCCAAAACCTGCCTCTGTCTCTGGGTATTTGCTTTGTTAATTTCAGGCCAGTTAGAGCAACGTAAGAAGGGTGAGGGAGAAGATATTTAGGACCCAGAACATAAATTTATGTGTTTTCTCTCCTTAGATACAATCAAAGAATTATACATTCGCACAAAATGACTTAAATAGTTGTGGTCATCCATCCTTGTATTTATCATGACAAAGCCGGCTTTGTTAAAAGATTGCATTTTTTCCTTCTCAAATTGCTTTAATTTTCTTAGGGAGCCATGGAAAGGGGGTGGGGTGGGGATTGGAAATCACTAACATGAAAGGCAAAAAGCAGACTATCATTCTCGTGGGGAAACCATTCTATTCTCCCCACTATGAAAACAAATGAATAAGAATGAAGCAAAATTACACCTTTATGAGGAACCATGCAATTGTTTCTTTTTTTTTTTTAATGCCAGACATGGCTTCCTAATGAAAGTAAATGGAAATGTAATTCAACAACTCCTCAAAGGGGTTTTTTAAGAACTTAATACAAAGCTGGGTGCTAAGAAAAATCACAGTGCATATTAAAGACCCAAGGACATTGTTCCTAGAGCAAAAGCACAGAAGCCAGCTAATAAATATGTAGCAGGTAGGGGGTGCACAGGCGTAAGAGGGAGTCCCATCCCCGTGCCCGTGCCACCTTCCTCACCCGCTGCGTACATGTTAAGCGATCACTTTGAATGTTTCACAGACTCTCTGAGCTATTCCTCAAGCACTGTCACAGTCAGACACTTCGCTCCATCAGGGACATCTTTCTGTCCCTGAAATTGTAGATAGGCTCACCAACAAGCGATAAGAGATGACACCCATTCCATTTCATCACGGTTTCCAGGGTATGAAGAAATAGACAGCTGGAGTTTGTGAGGATGCCACCATCTCTGGTTTATAGGAGATGCTCCCTGGTGTCTCGCGTACAGATTTTACCATATTTAAAAATGAGCTTACCTCTTCTGGCCCCCTAAGCAAGGGCTGTTTGACGGTGAGAATGAGAACTTCACCTGTGGCTATCACTGTTAACGTGCTGCCCTTCATCTGTCTATACTATTCACACCACCTCATTTCTTACTATGGCCTAGAAAAACCTGTCTTCAATGAGATTTAAGGTGGGTAAATGAATCCATGCAAAAATAAAGAGAGGTACCTCTGTAAGATGAGACTCTAAAGAAAGTTACATGAAAATGCATGCAGTAAAACTCCTCACCATTACTAAAGCAAAGGTCGGCTTCAAGTTCAGTTTAGGACTTTCTAGCAGCCACAGTTAATAGAGAGCGACTATCCTCTTTCTCCTCCTCCTCCATAAAAACAAGCAAAGATTTGGGAGGAAATGCTGCAAAGCCAACTTTATCGTTATTATACATGAGGTGTTCCAAGGGTCTTTGAATAAATACTTTCTTTCTAGGGAAGTGATTCCAAGGGACCAAGAACTGGTGCAGATAATTTCACACTCTGGAGCACTCACGTCCCTGCAACTGGAGGAACTGCCTCCAGGGTGGCCAGGCTCCAGAGCAGCCTTCTAGTCTTGACTGAGATGCGTACCCAGGGGGGTACACATCAGCAGGATGGCCACCCTAGGGCTATAAAATGAGGCCTTTAGGACTGATCTGTCCAAATAAGCAACCAGGTTTCTAGTATATGAAAAGGTATTCTCCACCTTTTCAAACATCTCTTTCAGGATGACTTGCTCTCTGGGTCAGGATATCTGACCATGAGGACTATGCAACCTCCCACAGCCCTTCCATTAGCATGGGTGGTTAAGATTATACCTAAGTGGGTTTAGTGACAAAAGTATCCAGAGAGATAACACGACTTTGTGGTGGCGAGTGTTGAATGATACTAGCTTGTGTTTCAGTAACACCCAGAGTGGAGTAATACCAGACTTGGAGGTGAACCTTTGGTGGGGTTTGTGCCCTAGCTTGGGGCAGTTTAAGGGGACACAAGGAGGACATGGCATTTCCTTGTTTTGTGGAGGAGGAGGAGGACGGGGAGCCAGTAGCATAGGGTAGTAACTGCCTGCGTTTTTTGCTACAATTTTCCTATAGTGTCATCTTATAATTGTACCTCTTGGGTTTATTTATCTATCATAAACGGTATGCAGAGAAGAAAATGTGGGCTGGCGGCTGGGACTCCCAGAGCTGGCAGTGAACGGGAGTCTGTTTGCTTACACACATTGAATCTCCCCATGACGGAATACAAGTGTTGGTTGCTGAAGCTCTCAGACGCAGCTGCCCTAGATACGGACACCACGCAGGAAAAGTGTGCAGTCTGCTCACTGAGAGAGGGAGGAAGTTAAGGGCTGCCAAGATACACGCTCCTAATCAGCTCCAAACGCGACTGTTCAGTCAGGACAGGAGAGTCACAGAGGAAGGCAGAAATGAACTTCGGCCTTGAAGAAAGCTAGCAAGAGAATCAGCAAAAGGCTCCGTATATGGTTAGGAAGGTCCAATTAAGTGTTTCTGAAATGGGTGCGACAAAAATTACAATAGTTGGCCAGAAGAGCATATGAGCTTATAAGGAATAATTTACACTCACTTCTCTGAGCCATGTTTTTGTCAGATTCAAAAACACCAGATTTCCTACCAAACGTTCTATCAGAACAAACCTTCACCTAAGTGGTTGTTCTGCTTCTAACATGTGAATTTCTTGAAATATCTGCATAGGAGGAGTCTCTATTTTTTTTCTCCTAGCAGCAGAAAGAAGGCAGCAGGGGCTAAATTTTACTTAGAGCCGAAAGGCTTCTGTGGCTGCTACGCGAGCCAGCAGGCCGGCAGGCTTGAGAATAACAGCTCAGGGGCAGCTTTCACACCTCCCACCCCCCTGCCACTTTCAACGACTGCCCACCCCACCCCTGCCTTCAATTCAGCAGTGACAGGACACAGGCTGACAATCCAATTTTCTCCTTTATATGTGTTAGGCTGTGTGTAAGTGCATGATGCTGAAAAGCAGAGCTAAATATTAACCAAGACTTAAGCAGACTGAATGTAAACACTACTGATTCTCCTAAAAGTGAATATAACCTTAGATGACATGATGTGGCCTGATCCCTGGGTCAGTGAATGTCTGTCTCCTGTTGATCAAAGATTTGAAGTACAGGAGCTACTGACCCGGACTCAACTTCAGGTGGGCATGGAGGTGTTTATATGGAGACAGGGTGAGGCTATTTTTTCATCTCTCTCTTCTTTCCTGGCATTATTGAAGGGACAGACCAGGGAGAAGACAAAAAAAAAAAAACCTCTTTGCCAGGATTTTGGTGTCTGGTGGCGAGAGGTAGTTCACTTTTGATCCTGGTCCTGAGAGGACTGGTTAGAGAAAAAATTGCCCTATCCTTGTAGAAAAGTGTGTTGAGGAATGAGATGCAAAACCCCTTAAAAACGAGATCTGAATCGACATTCTACAACCTTCCACTGAGTCATCCGGGGATTCAGGCCTCCAGTATTTAAGGCTCTTTGCAGTGGCCGCCACTGAAGAGAGAAAGAGGGGTGTGCTCTGACCCACCAAATGAGACTGCTTCAGCCCTGCACCCAGGAGGCAGAGCTGTCCCTGGTCCTTCAAAGATCAGATTACAAAGTGGCGGGAAGGGGCCCTGAGGGAAAATTGCTACTCTATCAGTCAGCATTCGGGGACTATCTGTAAGCTCGGCAGGTGCCTTGAAGCAGCAGCAGTGCCACTCCTGGCAGTGCCCCCCCCACCTCGTACACATACACAGCTGGGGTGTCAGCTCCTTCGAGGGCTCCCATCCCCAGGCGAGGGAATGTGGTCATTACTGAGAGAGCCCATATACTTTCCCATGGCTATTAGTTTCTTTAACAAGAAACCCAAATGGTCCTTGTAAAGCATAACGAAGGCTTCATTGTTTTCTTAACATTAACCAGTATCCCACTTCTCAGGAGAAATGGACAGTCTTCCAAGGCTCTCAATCTCTCAATTCTCATCTTGTACCTTAGTCACAGTGTTCTCAGGCACACATACGCAGGCTGCAATGCACACAGGTGACATAATGGTGCACACGAGTGGCACACACAGGTGAAGGACATGTTCATCTATGTGTTACGTGCATGCACATACGTGTGAGGCACACGTGTGACACACACATACACACACCATGTACCTTCTATATTTTTTAAGGCAAGGCCTCCAACGCAGAGATTCTCCAAGGCTTTCCATGGAGGAAGGGAACTATAATTTGAACTCTTTCGAAGTCTAGGGATATTCAGTCATTTTTTTCTAGGTAGGGGAGGGGACATTGTGTATAAGCTAGTTTTTTCACCCAGAGGATTTCATGCCCCATCATAGACTGCATGCCTAGCCCCAGCCAGCTGTCCCAGCAATAACAGGCCACCTCAATATTTTTTTAAAGTAGAGTTCACAAAAGTATAAATCATCCCCACTAGTCAACCAGCTTAAATGTTCTTCTAACAGCAGTATTTTTGCCTAAGAACAACAAAACAAATTTTTTTGCAGAAAATCATTCAAAATAATTTTAAAATAGAGTCTGGAGGACAGTGTTGTAACAGACATTTCTTCCTCCTCCCGCCCCACCCCCCACCAGCTTCTTTTTCCTTCGCTTTAAATTGAGGTATAGTTAACATACATTTTATTAGGTTCAGGTGTACAAAGTGATGAGTTGATATTTGAATCTATTGTGAAACGATCACAATAAGGGTGTTTCTTGTGATAAGAACTTTTAAGATTTACTCCCTTGGCAACTTTCAAATATGCGGTTAGTATTATTAACCATAGTCGCCCTACTGTGCATTACATGCCCAGGACTTACTTAAATATTTTTATGACTGAAAGTTTGGAAGGTTTTGACCCCCTTCACCCACTTTGCCCACCTTTGCCCCACCCC